CTGCTTTTTTTGTCCCCCCAGTAATGGAATTCTGCAGCAGAGAAGGTTTTTTCCCCATCTTGGGGGAAATGGGAAAAAAAAGAGCTGATTTCTCCCATCCTACTGGTGTTTCTGCTTTTTACTTTTTAATGGCCCTCTGGGATGCTGTTTGTCATGGGGACTGTTGTGTTGAGTCCTGTTCTTTCACATGCACTACTGTGGGCTAAATTCCATATACTTTCACAGGGTATCACCTCTTTGTTCCCTAGGATGATTCTCCTAAGTTGTCTCTGGCTCAAGATGCCTTGAATTTTCATTACTGGGTCAGCTTTTCAAAATTGCTGCTGCCTAAAGTGTTTTCACTTGGAGCTGTTCTCTCTTAGGCACAGTAACATACTGTAGGGTGTGAAATCAGCTGTTCCAGAGAGAAGCAATGGTCTAGCAAACTTCTGGGAACATTTCTGAGACCTGAACATGGCAGTGGATTCTCTACACTAACCACAACCACAGACAGTCTGGAAATCTCGCTAGTTTGTTAATACATTTGTGACTCCCTTCAGGTGGGCCTGGCTTGGTTGTCCATGTTTCTTGGTGTGGCAGAAGGCACCACCAACACCCCTTTCCCCTACACTTTTGTTGGAGAAAAGAGCAGGTCCTACTATTTCACTTGACTTCATCTTCTGAACTTGGGGTGGGGTAGGAACATGAGGTCAGTCTTTCCTGTTCCATTTCTACATCATTGTATCCTAGTGATTGAAGTGAAGTACACTTCACAAATAAAGAAACTTTTTTCATAACTTCACCATTATTGATTTTAGTTCAGTTATGGATGATGCTTTTGTTGCTTCACTACTCCAAATGAATTTTGACCTGTGGTGGATTAAAAGGTTAAATAATAACCCAGGCGCTGTAACGTACAGCAGGCAATTGAGAGTGGGGTAACAGAGCAAACAGATGAGCTGGAGAGCAGCCAGGGAACATGTCCTACTGGCTCTCCTTGTGGGACTACAGCAGAGCCCTGGATTGACGCCATCGTGAGAAGAAAAGTATTAGAGTATGTAGCTTTGCACAAACAAAGTGTTTACTGCCAAATAAGATTATGCACATGCCTAAACTACCAAGAAAGTGATGTGCATGTACCTCAGAAAAATAACCATACTTCCAAAATGAGAATATGGGTTTAGGAAAAAAAATTCATTTCCTCCTTTCAAATGCTAAAGCATCAGTAGTACTTGCAACTATTTAACAGTAAAGGTTGGACTGGACTACTGCAATAGTGTTGCTGAGAAGAATACTTCGCATTTGTGGAAAGCTTGACTTTAAAGGATTTACAGGTGGTTTGTTTAGGTCTTGCGTTGATGCAAGAGATCAGTCGACAAACAGTGACTGTATATTCTGTGACTGGTCAGCCTGAGTATTCAGAGTGTGTCACTGGAGGATGCAGTGTTAGAATATGAGATTCCTGATCCTCTGCTCAAGCACCTCTGGAAACATTCCCTTCTGCTTTTGGCTAAAGATAGGATGAAGACAGAATTGGTCACTAGCAGGCGTTTGTACATCTCTGCCAAACTTTCCTCAGAAGTAGCCATTACAGCCAAAAAATACTGAATACTGTGGTAGTAGGCATTATAGAAACTTGCAGTGGATAGGAAAAGTACATTTAGTTCTTCTTAACAGTATAAAGTGAGATAATATTCCCTGGTCGTTGCCCTTCTGCTTGAAGCAAAATATGCATTTCTTTAAAGTATTGTATTGCTGTCTCTTCAGAGAGCTTATTTGTAAGTGTCCAGAAAAAAAACAAGACTGGAAAACCGTTTTTCAGCAGTAAGCAGCAATCTTCTGTTAGACTACCTCTGTGCATCTCTAGCTGTAACCAGAGAGCATTGCCTGTGTTCCTGTCATTCCTAATATTGTTTTATTGCCAAAGCCTCTCTGAAGATTGTATATCCTGAGATGTCTCTCCAGAATACTGATAACTTGGGATTCATATGCAGAGAGCACACAGAGTACAAACAAGAATTACGCAGTATGTGCTTTGCACTGTCAGGATGTATTATTTGGGGTTTATCCAAGCTAGGCTTATGATTGCCATATGTGGACTAGCAAAAGATGCACATAAAGGTGCTTTCCAAGGACAGCAATGGCAGATAAAGCTTGTTTTGTTCTATTTCAGTACATGTCAGATCATAGCTACCCTGAGGGTTTGGAGTCTGGAGGAGACCAGAGATTAGATGAGTGACTTTTGCTGGGTGACTGGCCAACATGTGGCATGCTAGGGTGCTAAGAGTCTGGCAGGGCTAGAAAATCAAGTAAGGTGGGAAAGGAGACTATCAGAATGGTGATATACGACTGATAACTGAATTTGATTGTCGTGGACTTTAATGGGAGTGTGACAAAATGCAAAGTGGTATATTTCTTCTCATTAACATTTCTTTATATTATGACTAGCTTCTCTAAGAGCACTGTCCACAAATGTGAGCTGAATTTCACTTGGATTTCTTCTGTCATTTGAATTTTACTACTTTCATATGGAAAGAACTTGATTAAGCATAGTAATTTGCTGTGGGTTGGGGTGGGGTTTTTTTGTGTGTGTTTTGGTTTTTTTTTTTTAAGAACGACAGTGTCTTATGAAGAGAGACTTAAATAACTGTTCATCCTTCTTGGATCTTTTTTTTTTTTTTTTTTTTTTTAGGTAAAATAATTGTAGTACAAAGGCAACATCTTTTCTCCAGTGACTGTTTTCTCACTCTACTACACTACAGTCCATTAATTCCAAAACCAACTAATGTTAAAAGAAATAAGTAGTAGTGTTTGCTTTAAGGCAGAATTTCTTCTCATCTTATGGTAACTATATAGGCACAGAGGGGAAACATAGGAAGGACTTAAAAACTTTGTGAAGAAGTCATTTTAGCAGTCTTTTTCCCTTGGGGCAGAGCTCATGTTTCCTGACTTGTGTATGGCCAGTGCCATGACTTTTTCAAAGGTTTGTGTTATTGGATTATACTGTTTATTTTGCTTGTCATTCTTAGCCTAGAAAGTTATGTCTTTGATTTCTTTTCTATGACAAATGTAATGAAGCAAAAGCAGTGGAAAACTTTTGCACAAGTTGATTTAAGTGTTAATGATGGATAAATGTTCATTTCAGCCTTGCTTGTATTAGTTTATTAGTTAGTTTAGAAAAAGGGACTTTTGAGCAGCGTTGTGTTATATCATGCCTTATGTCTATTTTTGTCTTTTTAATGAATGACAATAACTCTACTTCTATATGTAATGTAGGAAGAAAGTGATGAATGTGATCTTTTTTTTAAAAAAAATTTTTTATCCCTCTGTTACGCAGTAGCCTTTTGTAGGCTATTCCTTCTGATGGAGAGGAATCCGGTTTGAGAAAGTCGTTCATGCTGTTGGTTTGTTGTTCGTTAGGATTGGGTTGTAGTCAGGTTTTTTTTTTTCGCTTTTAGCATGCTGGCCTTTTCCAAGGCTCCTTGCTGTGTGCATTGGAGAAATTCACAAGTATATTTTATCCAGTCTATCGTTGTCTGCAGAATTAAAAAGCTTTGAGTAATTGTCTTCGTTTACTACTTGCTCAATGTCAGTTTTGCTTGGGAAGCTATAGAAGCTGTTGCAGACTATGTGGAGTACTGTATTAGAGAGACTGGTTACATGACTATTTACATGTTCTGGGTGGTCCAAATTGAGTATATTAAAAAAAAAAAACAAACCAACACAGGTCTAACGCCACAGTTGTGAACAGTCATCTGTTAACAATGTTACTAACAACTTTTGAAAATGAGGTTATGATAACTTCCTTCAAAATTATTGCTGTTTTGGGACTATTTCAAAGAAGCAAAGGGCGTATGAACAGGGAAAAGGATGAAGAACTTAGTAATTCTGCAAATAAGGAGCTGTAGAGGTAAAGGTCTACATTGTTGGTTTTCAAGCCACAGCTTCATTCAGGAGTTAGAGTAGCGCAAAGCACTCAGTCTGGGTTCAGGCTTCTTTGAGAAACACATGCAGAGATGTCTGCTACAGCAGTGTGCTTTGCATTGACCTGCAGCACTAGGGAGGTGAATAAAGAAACAGTGGTACTTCAGCTTTTTTGCTGCCAAAAGGGTTTAGGAAACTGTAACTGTTCCTGTGCAAACTCACTGGAATAAGGAAGACTTTGTACTTGCTTCTTGATATGACCCATCTGTTCATCATCAGCCAAACTCTGGTTAAAATGTGTTCAAAAAAATAAAATAAAATAGTTCCTCAGGATTACTGGTGTCACAACCCAACCTCTGCTTCTAAGGGGGCAAAAGCATTACAAGCAGACTGTGCTGACTGTCATATGTAAAACACAGCATATGTGGTTTACCATATGATAGGTCTAACCTAAGTTAGTGCAAACCATCTCCCAAGTCAAGTCCTTAAACTGCCTTATGTCTTACTAAGAGACTTAATATTATTTTCAATTTTTTCCTCCCAAGTGATTAGTCAGTAGCTGTACTTTATTTATATAATGGGTTTTTGGCACTGTAGATGCCTGAAGTTGAATTGGCCAGGTATCTAGTTTGTCAAAATTTGGTGTAAAATTCGTTGTTGCAAGATGCTGCAACCTAGGAGTTCACTTCTAATATGTGTAACTGTGTGCTTACATAAACAATGTATATGATACCTAAAATGCATCTCAGCATCCGTAATAAGATTGAGTTAAGTTTTGTTCAACTATCTGTTCTGACTTTCTGGCAGACTAATTCTCATATCAACAGAGGCAGCAAAATGCCCTGTGGGTTTCTCGCAGAGGACTCTAAAAGCACATTTTGTTCTTCATTGCACATGTTGATTCTGAAATATTGTACATAATTACCCTTTTTATCTCTTTTTGAATGCAGAGATTTTCTTAATTGTGTTTTCTTGCTGTACTGCAGAACATTTATTTGCTGTAGTCTTCTACCTTTTTAAAAAGAAAAATGCAAGCAGAATTTGTACAACTGAAAGCTGAACATATTTGTTATCCCTTGGCATTGTTTCTTTCCTAGGGAGTGCTGTCCAATATCTCCTCCATCACTGACCTGGGAGGCTTTGATCCAGTTTGGCTCTTCCTAGTGGTAGGAGGAGTTATGTTTATTTTGGGATTTGCAGGATGCATTGGAGCTTTGCGAGAAAATACCTTTCTTCTCAAATTTGTAAGTAGCCTTTGCAACTGTGGCATTCATCAGTTACATAGCATAAGTCATGTTCTCTGTTCCTGCTTAACTGTGTAAAGATTTTAAAATGTCTTTTGGGGAGTGGAAGGTGTTATCTGATGTGAGAATACTGTTCTGTGAATCGCTTTTGCTTAACTGTTAACACTTTACAGCTCTTCAGTCTCTGGTGCTTACTAGGGTTTTTTTAAGGTTCGAAACTATTGATAGTAAGAATCATAACATGGAACTACTGCTTTTTATATGGATATAGCTTAACATTTTGCTTTCCTGTCCCGAAAAGAGAGAAATTTCTGCTAAGAATCTGCATGTTGAACTTTGAGTCCATAACAAGCTGCCTATGAAATATGAGGAATATAGATACACCAATGAATGTGACCAGTGTGACTTCTGCTGTGCAAGTGCCCCTCATGGTACAGGGGAGATAGGACTGTTATGAGGGGTTGCTTGCTGATATCCTCAATTCTGTACCGTTTAGCTAATCTGAAAAGGCTTCATTGCTTACTGTCAGTTGCTGAGGCCTGAGAGGGAGAAAGGGAGGAGAATGTGCCCAGGACAGGTAAAGAAAATAGAAGTTGTCGTCTTGAACTCTGGGCTGGACTGTTAGTTGGGGAAAATAGTTTGCTGATATGCAAACACACCCTCAGTATTCAAAACTCCTTTAGCTAAGTAGCCTGATTCTGTTTTTTAAAGCCTTCCTTGCGTGAGCTTTGAAGATGAGGATAACAGTGTTATGTTCCATTTTAGATAAATTTAAGATTTATAATAAAAATTCAAGATTCTTTCCTCCACCACCCCAACTTCCAGAGGTGGGCACAGCCTGGGTAGTAGTTGTTTCTTCATAACCATTAGCTGTTAATAGATACATGGAAAGGCTTCCAGTGAAACAACTGCCTTCAAGTGACGTATTTGGCTCCTACAGACATGTTGTATAGGGGAGGAGGCAGTTGAGAGTTACAGCTCTTGAGGCATTTATAAAGCAGCTTGAGATAGTTCTAGCTTGCTCTTGTCTTGCTTAAAAAAAAAAAGGGAGGGGGAAGCTATTGTAACACTTTTTTTTTCTCCTCTTCCTTGCTTCTCGTAGCTTGCCTAAAATGAACCCATCTGCTGTACCAGAAATAGCTTCCTATACAGCAGCTCCAGGAGAAATTAAAAATGCATCTGAACAAACACAGAGAGCATATTAAAATGGAACTCAAAGGCGCAGTTGCAAAAGGGATGGACTTCAGTATATGAGGACCCTGTGTGTTTTAAAACAGTGTAGACTCAGTGGAGATACTTAGAGAAAGTGGCAGATCGTTAGTAATGCCTGTGGCATCTGTTACATTTGCATTAATCATAGCAGCCTCATTTGGTTTTAATGTGGATGTGAGTCATTCCATAGACATTCTGCTCTGACTTAGTCATTAATTAATTTCTGCTGTTACCAATTTTTGCTTTGTCTGCTTAGGCAAAGCTTTACCAATAAGGGTGTCTAAAGAAAAAGTCACTTAGAAAGCATTTCACTGGCACTATTGGTTGTTTAGGCCTTTGAAAATGTAAGTGCCTACATAGAAATTTAAGATGAGTTTTCAGAGCGCCCTACAGGTGGTGAGTAGCCATCTCTGTTGAAATTTACAGTGATTGTCTTAGACCTCTTTGAAAATGCCAGTGAAATGTCCAAAGTTTGAATTTGTTGGCATTTTTATTATTTGTTAGAAGAGAATTAAGATTCCTGTGCTACAGCCCTAATTAAAACTGGTGTATTTTTAATTTAAAATTTCCTCTGTGCTGGAATAGCTTGAACTTGCACTGAAACAGATAAAGCCCTAAGACTGGACATAATTGTGAGCCCTGAAAAATAAGTTTTTGGTCATAAAGCAAAATAATTTTAATCTTTTTTCTTCATAGTTTTCTGTGTTTCTTGGAATTATTTTCTTCTTGGAGCTCACTGCTGGTGTTCTAGCATTTGTTTTCAAAGACTGGATAAAGGACCAGCTGTATTTCTTCATAAACAACAACATCAGAGCATACCGAGATGACATTGATTTGCAAAACCTCATAGACTTCACACAGGAATATGTAAGTTGGACTATGGTGGTTTTTTTTGTAAATCTTACTTTAAAGAAGTACTTCCTCTATTTTTTACATCCCATCTGTTTGGTTCTTTCCAGCAACAACAGAAATATTCTAGCATATTTCAAATATATAATGGCCATTCTAAAGCTTTTAAAAATGTGGTTTGTTTGGAGTTTTTCAATTTCTTTTAAGTTGACATAGATGTGTTCATTGGGCTAGCTCCTTAAATGCTGTAAACCATCAGTGCTTCACTGATCTCCAGTCCATTCTTTGTATGTTCAGCAAGTTTTACCAATTCTTCGTGTGTTCAGCATGTTTTGCTAGAGACTAAGCCTGCCATTTGGCATATTTACTTTTTGAAGGATTCTGCCTGCCTTCAGTAAAGATGTTATTTGTGCAATGTGTGATGCTCAGGAAATAATGTGTTCATACTGTCTGATGAACATGAGCCGGCAGTGTGCCCAGGTGGCCAAGAAGGCCAATGTCATCCTGGCCTGTATCAGAAATAGTGTGGCCAGCAGGAGTAGGGAGGTGATCGTGCCCCTGTACTTGGCCCTGCTGAGGCCGCACCTCGAATACTGTGTTCAGTTTTGGGCCCCTCACTACAAGAAGGACATTGAGGTGCTGGAGTGTGTCCAGAGAAGGGCAACGAAGCTGATGAAGGGTCTGGAGCACAAGTCTTATGAGGAGTGGCTGAGGGAACTGGGGCTGTTTAGCCTGGAGAAGAGGAGGCTGAGGGGAGACCTCATCGCGCTCTAAAACTACCTGAAAGGAGGTTGTAGCGAGGTGGGGGTTGGTCTCTTCTGTCAAGTAACTAGTGATAGGACGAGAGGAAATGGCCTCAAGTTGCGCCAGGGGAGGTTTAGACTGGACATTAGGAAAAACTTCTTTACTGAAAGAGTGGTCAGGCCTTGGAACAGGCTGCCCAGGGAAGTGGTGGAGTCGCCATCCCTGGAAGTATTTAAAAGACGTGTAGATGTGGTGCTTAGGGATATGGTTTAGTGGGCATGGTGGTGTTGGGTTGACGGTTGGACTTGATGATCTTAGAGGTCTTTTCCAACCCTAATGATTCTATGATTCTATGATGTACAGCCAGGCAAAAATTCCTCCAAACTGGCAGAAGGAGTTAGCTATACCAGTGTAGCTCTCGGAGCTGATTAGTTTTGTTGAGAACCCAGGGCACATTAGAATGGACAGAGTATCATACTCTTGGCTCTACTATCCCTGGGGCCTGAGCTTGTACGCCTGTGCAACTCTGGTGTTGTGTAGGCTTATCAGCTGACTCCATGGGTTTCTCTCCAGAGAGCAGCGTTGCAGGGTGTGAACATACTTTAATCACATGATAATTTTAGAGCAACTTACAGGTTTGGAATGTTTTGTTTTTTTTTTTTAAAAAAAAACAAACAAACAAACAAAAAAACCCAAGCCAGCTTCAATGAAACCAGAGGGAATCTCAGATTTTGTTTTGAAAACTGGAGGGAAACTGGCAGCTATGATGCATGTTACTAATGCTGAGATTTGTTTGTTCTGAAAGTCAAGAAGCTTTCCTTTCTTTGTTCTAGTGGCAGTGCTGTGGGGCTTTTGGAGCTGATGACTGGAACCTTAATATTTACTTCAATTGCACAGATTCCAACGCAAGTCGCGAGCGCTGTGGTGTGCCATTCTCTTGCTGCACTAAAGATCCTGCCGTAAGTGACAGTCAAGGGTAGGATGGGTCTGCTGTTCCAATTTTAAATTGTTCTATAAGATTTTTTTTTTTTCCTGGAAGTCATGCATGATCGTTACTTTCTCACCAACCTGTATTTTTTTTTTTTTGTACTTGCAGCTCAGCTTAACCACTAACTCTTCTGCAGTCAGCAAAAATCCTGAGCTAACTTAAGTCTTCATTGTATGCTGTTTGCTGCTTTTCATTAGAATGAGAGAACCATGGGCTTGGTTGAACATACGTATCAATTTTGGCAAGTTTAAAAAGCAGAAGCCCTTAATGAGTTGAATGATAAGAGCTTTCAATTGAATATCATCAGGATATTTTATTTGCTGCCTTAAAGAACAGCAACTCTAAGATTAGACACTCTGAAGCAGGTATTACTCATTATTTAATGCAGTGTCCAGAGGCTGCAGCCAGTTTGACCCAGTTTGTGCTAGGTACAGTAATGAATGACAGTCTGTGCCCTGAAGAACTGACATAAGTTTGCATTAGAATCTTAAGTTGGGTATGGGCATCTTTACATGCTCTTTTTTCCCTTTAAAATTACTGCTTGTCCTACAATCACCTGAGATCAGACTTGAAAGGTCAGAAATTGTTTGAGGGAACAGCTTCTTGGTAAATTTTCATGTCTTTTAAAACAGTTATAGTTCTGGATCATCAAGCAGAAAATGTTGGAGCCATGCATTACTAGTACGGACATGATCAAGAATGAAGGGTAAAGTGTAGG